GAGTTACGAAGGAAAAAAAATCTAATCTTATTTACAACCGCCCCAAGTATTATTTATTTATTTAGGTTGATTTTTGCTGAAACTTGTCATTTGGACGCTGATTCAGCATCTTACTATTACGATTTACTTCTGTTAACTTTCTGCCATTTCAGCCGTTCATTGGCCAAAATGTTCGGCTCATTCAGGAGACGGGTGCTGTGACTTTTGGTTTAAAATCTTTTAAATTGTTTTACTTTTATTTACAAATATTTCCCTACAGAAACACCGACATCTCCGTTTCAAAAAAACTGTTAATTTGTAAATCTGCTGCAGCAAACGGCCTCTAGTTTTGTCTCTAGTATTTTTACTTTTTACTCTGTTGCTAATCTAGATTCTAGCTGACCTTTTGATACTTTTGCTAGCCTTATGTTGCTTTTGGCTACCCTTTTGCTACTTTAACTTTTGGTTAGTGTTTTGCTTTGTTTAGCTTTTGCTAGAAATTTGACTTTTAGCTAACCTTTAGCTGTTCCAGCAAATCTTTAGCCACTTTTAGTTACTCTTGAGCTACTTTTAGCTTTAAAATAATTGTTTGCTGCTTTTAGTTTTTAGCAAGGTTGTCCTACTTTTAACTTGTAATTGGCTTTATGATAGCTTTGATAGCTTGATGTTTCTTCTAGCCTTTAGCAAACATTTAGCTAATTTGTCTATACTTAACCTTTTGCTACTTTTAGCAACTCTTTAGCACTTTTAGCTTCAATATAAATTTTTGCTGAATTTAGCAAACTGTTACTTTTAGATTCTAGCTAGCCCTTTAATACCTTAATTAGCCTTAAGTTGCTTTCAGCTACCGTTTTGCTACTTGAACTTTTAGCTAAGCATTTGTTGCTTTTAGCTGGTCTTTTGTTTTGTTTAGCTTTAGCTAGAAATTTGACTTTTAGCTAACCTTTAGCTATTCTAGCAAACCTTTTAATATTTTTAGTTACTCTTGAACTACATGTACTTTTAGCTTTAAAATAATTATTTGCTGCTTTTAGCTTTTAGCAAGGTAGTTGCTTCTTTTAGCTTGTAATTAGCTTTTTGATAGTTTGCTAGCCTGAAGTTTCTTCTAGCCTTTAGCAAACCTTTAGCTAATTTACCTATACTTAAACCTTTTGCTACTTTTAGCAACTCTTTAGCACTTGTGGCTTCAAGATAGCTTTTTGCTGCTTTTAGCAAACTGTTACATTTAGTTTCTTTGATAGCTTAATTAGCCTTAAGTTGCTTTCAGCTACCATTTTTGCGACTTGAACTTTTAGCTAAGCATTTGTTGCTTTAAGTGTTCTATAACTATTTGCTGATTTTACCCAGGTTGTTGGTACTTTTAGCTAGCCTTTTGCTACTTTTAGCTTAAAGCTAGCCTTGTGATAGTTTTACTAGCCTTTGGTTTATTTTACCTAAACTTTAACTATCTATACCTAACCTCTTGCAAATGTTAGCAACCCTAAAGCTCTTTAGCTTTAATCTAAATCTAGCTTAAATCTAATCTAGCTTTAAGATAATGTTTTGCTACTTTTAACTACCCCTTTGCTACATTTATCTTCTAGCCAGACTTTTGAAACTTTTGCATGTCTTAAGCTGCTTTTAGCTTACCTTTTGCAACTTCAACTTTAACTAGGATTTTGTTACCTTTAGCCAATATTTAGCTTCTTTTAGCTTCATTGGCTGTTTCCGATTCTACTGCAAATTTCAGCAGTCATTTAGTACTCCGCACCCTCTCTTGGTCTTATTTTGCAGAATATTCTATGTTTCTAATTACTTCAGATGTAATCTCCAAACTATTAAAATAAATAAACACTTTTTCTAAGTGGCTGTCATCATCCAAACACAAGCGTCTCCTCTGGGCGGGTCGTGGGGTCACGACATCCCCCGCTCCAAACTGCTGTCTAGACTCGATTTTGTCTTTTGCCATCAAGGAAAAGTTGGAAAAAAAAGGGGCAAAAGAAACTTACCCAAGGGTTAAAAACTTTTCCAATTAACCCTCATTATCTAGAGCGAGCGTTTCAACGAGGCCTGCAACCTGAGATGCGTATCAGCTCCGAGGCAGGGGCCGGCGGGGAGGAAGTCGCCTCTTTTCATCTCAAAGTTCAGTCACCGGAAGTGTGACATTTGAACACCAGCAGCCGTGATTTAATAAACTGAGGTGTTCCCCTTGTTGAAAAAAAAACAAAACAAAAAACGAACACATGTGATTTTACCAGCAAGGATTTGAATAAAAGCACGTCTGTACCACTGCGTTTCTGTTTCAGTAAAAAAAAAAAAAAAGTGTATGACTTTTTATAATTGTTTATTGTTGTCACTGTTGTCATCATTCTTTGTTGAAATCAGGTCTCTCTTGTAAACGAGTCCTCGAGGCTCAATGGGATGTACCTGTCTAAATAAAGGTTGTACGAAAATAAAACTGCATGTACAGTTTTCAGCTTATCAGGCGCAAACACGCACATCTACATGTGACTCCCTCATAAACAGCTTTAAGGTGCGATGGAGAAACTTTACAAAGTTACTGATTGATTTGCTCCTCACTAGTTTCCAAGCATGTTCCTGTGACGGTGACCCATTGACTGACCTGTGTAATTGGTTCACACAAATCACTAACGGCAGGGGAAGAGGGGGTTCCTGTGCTAACCACTGATCTAGCTTACAGATTACCTTCCCTGAAGAGAGACACCTGGCCACATCTGCCCTTCGACATCTGCGATCGTATCAGAATATGCTCCTGATACGCTCAACAGTTTCCTCTAGATGAATGTAGTGGTGCTCAACGGATCATTGGTAAGATTTAAAATGCGCAGCAGTCTTCAGGCAGGCATCAATCCCTGCAGGACGGTCTCTTCCCTGCCGTTGTGAAGAGTTATAGACTTCCAGACACTTAAAGCTCAGCTATTCGGCATGTTTCTACAGAAGAATTTCACACTCTCGAGTCAAGGTTTGTCTGACATACCATGTTCGTAGAATGTGCCCTTGGCTCGCCACCGGCCTTGATGAGCGATTTGTTCTCAGTCCAGATGATTTACATAACGACAAGAATGTAGAGAAGGAAGAGGAAAAAGAAAGTAAAACAAGATGACACGGTCTTTGAGTTTACAGGAAAACTTGTGAACGCTGTAACGTAAGACGGGGATCGTCAGCGGACGGTCCGCGGGCCATCGTGGTGCTCGGCAAACTGTCGTTGGAAAGTTTCATAATATTAAAAGCAATCATTGCAAAGTTGTGAAGACAAGACAAAAATACCAATCGCCGTGTGTTTGTTTACCTGCAGAAACAGCCGAAGTGACTGAAAACAGGTCAAACCTCTGTCTCAGTTTTCCACCAAAACATCTGCTTTGAGATCATTTGCTTGTCCCATTCTAACCCAACCTAATTCCAATCCCAACCTAGATGTTTTTGTAACATTTTTCAATTCAATTCAGTTCAAAAATACTTTATTAATCCCAAAAGAAAATCAATTGTTGTTGTAGCTCATCTTGGTTTCATTAGAGTTGTTCTAGAAGCTGATGGCTGTGGGCAGGAAGGATCTCTTGTAGCAGTCCGTCCCACAGTGGATCCAAAGAAACTGGTTGCAGATGTCGATCTGTCCACCCAGATCTAGCAAACCTCTTGGGCAGCAGGGCCACCTGAATGCCGGGCAGAACTCCTCCCCGAGCGATGGCCATTTCTCCCAGCAGCCTGCCGAGCCCCTCGTCACTGCGGATTTAACTGCAGGTGCCGGGGGACGATCTCAGTCTTCCTGCTGTCATGAGCTGCGTTTCTCGTTACCTCCAAGATCTCAGCTGTCAGGCATTTGAGCACCACCTCCAGGTAGATGGTAATGCATCCACAGCACCTCCTTTTCATCTCATTTGGGATTGTAACTGAGGTATTTGAGCTTTTGAGGTGTTAATCAGCAGCTCCCAGTTGTAAAAAAAACACCTTGTTGTTATGGCTAAGCATCACAACCAATGTCCAAACGTAAAAAAGTTTTCAGTAAAAATCCTTCCAGCGGCACAGCATCTGATACCAGAGGAAGTAATCATCGGAAAAAAGCGATTTACATCCAGAAAAATGAGGAATTGAAGTTTTCAGAAGCAAAATCTCAGAATGAATGTAGAAGAGCTGCTCCAGCATGAGCGGCACAATTCTGGAACTAGACTAATCTTAACAAATTTCACTTGTTAATCTCAATTTGTACACATCTTTTATGACTGTCCACTGTTCTCATCACTCTTTGTTAAAACCAGGTCTCTCTTGTAAATGAGTCCCCGAGGCTCAGTGGGATTAACCTGTATAAAGGTTGAATGAAAAAAGAAAAAAAAAATCTGCCATTAGTTCACCTGCAGATCATGACTGGCCTAATTTAGGCGGGTCACGTGACTCAACCGGATTCTGCCTTGTTTACATTGAGTGCATGCCGCATTTCAGATGTACACATCAGTATATCAGGAAGATAAAGTTCTGGATAAACTTATCGTAGTTTGCAACGAGTTTAATACCATGAGAAAACTGTGTAGAAAGATAATTTAAGAGGGGAAGAAAAGGGCGGGGGACTAAATCTTGGCACGGCTGAAAAAATATTCCTTTGTTTAAGTTTGTGGTTTGGAGTTATCAGTGTGACTTCAGGTCACAGAGTGTTCTTCTCACTTTCCTTCTCCACCACAGCTCTGGAGGAGCCAGACTCCAGTCTCTGATTGTTGTCCCAGTAATCAGAAGTGGGTGGGTTGAGTGAGCTCATGAATATGGAGGCACTCCCTCTTCAGCTGAACTTGTGAAGCCAGCCTGCAGCTCGCACACTCAGTGCGCTCTGCCCCGCCGCCGCATGGCTCCTGCGTAAAACTTTCTCCTGCAACAAGTGGAGGCTGACAAAGAGCTGCTCGGAGGAGGGGGAACCCCGTCCCGGAAGATTCTGCTTTACCTGCTCATCTAACTGCTTGCCCCACACGTGCATGTTTAAAGCAGAGGCGCGCTCTGGTGCCGAGTGTCGGCCGGACTTTTAGTACAAACGAGGCAACAGCAGTCGCGAGGCGATGGTTTGGAGACGGCGCGCGGCGCTCGCTGCCCTTTTCCTCCTCTTCTGCTCTCATGTGAAGGTACGTGGCGCGTGCTCGCCTTCTGCTTCTGTGTCCGAGCTGACAGCGCTCACCTTGTCCCTGTTTTCCACTCCCCGCAGGTGTCGGACGGGTCGGGACAGTTCGAGCTGCAGGTCTTATCGATGCACAACGCCAACGGGGAGCTGCAGAGCGGCGCGTGCTGCGACGGCGCGCGGAGCGGCGCGGACAGAAAGTGCGCACGGGACGAGTGCGATACGTTTTTTAAAGTTTGCCTGAAGGAATACCAGTCCAGGGTGTCCGCCACGGGGCCCTGCAACTTCGGAATGGGATCTACGCCCGTCCTCGGGGGGAATACGTTTTCTTTCAGGAGCGCAGTCAGGAACGACAAGTCCAGGATAGTTTTGCCCTTCAGCTTTGCCTGGCCGGTGAGTGAGGGGAGCCATCTCCAAAACAGAGTAAAAGCTTAAATTAAAGCAGGTCTGTTTGCAGAGCACTTATGTGCAATTACTGCCAGTCAACCAGAAGTGGACAGAGGAGAGAGTTTTGGTTCTTAATGTAGAGAAAGCCCCCCCGGTTTCCTCATTATATGCTCTGATTTCCCAGCTGCAGGTATTTTTCTCCTGTCAGGCCTAAACCTGTCCATCAGCCTGTTCAAACTCCTGAAGTCCGCTCAGAGGAGTCTACAGTTGAACCTCTGGTTTGGGGGTGTCTTTCAGATCCCGGGTCCTTTTAGCTGTTGCTCAGTGCAGCAAGTCCAAAACGTCCAAAACGCATCGTTTCCTGGGTCCTTTTAGCATCAGATCTCCTCCCTGGGGTAAAGAAACGGCTGTGACATGCAGGGGTGTTGGGGGTTTGTTAAATGTGAGATGATTTAAACGAAACGACCCAGGACTGCACAGACTGACTGGCCCCACAGCTTGGCCCACAAACTCCTCCACCGCGCCTGACGGCTGGAAGGCTGCTGGTATGTGTGTGTCCAATTACATCAAGGCTATTTTTACCCCCAATCTTCATCTAAGTTCATTTTGTGATCTTAAGCATTGTGCACTCTGCTGCTTTTGGCTAAGAGAGACGTCTGAAGCCACTTCTCGTTGGATTTGGTTTCTGTTGGTTTGTGTTTTGACCATCTTTCAGTGGAAACTTGTTCTTTGTGGCTAAATCAGTTTGAATGCAAAGTAGTTTAAAGTTATTCTTCTGTGCTTCACTTTAACCCGACCCTTGTTTATTCCTATTTGAACAAACATTTCAGTTTTTCTTGCTCCAAATGTTTGACAAACTTCTAAGTTTGAAAACTCCTACTTTAAAACAAGCTGTGGGACTAGAAGGATATTCTTACCAATAATATAATGTATTCTTCAGATAGTCTGGACTCGTAAGACTTTTAGAAGAAAAACCCAAATTCCCCCATCCTTCACTTCAAGTGCTTTCCTTCAGTGCACATTAACAATCGTCAGGTTAGGTATGATATCACTCTTTGTCCTTTTCATCAGTTGATTGGCTGCTGTGGACAGATGGCAGTGTGGTGCAATTGGGTTGTTGGGGACTCAGAGTTCATGGAGCCCCCCCCCCCGCCTCCGTTTCCCTTCATCCTCTCTTGTGAGCTGCATGAAGTTGGCCTCTTGTCCAGGCTAAGAGCTTTGTTTAAGTCACGCTCTGTTGGACCCCAGGCATTTCATCGCTTTAACCTTGCCACCCACGGTAACCGCTGCACTTAATGAGGCTGCACACATGTCCTCACATCAGGTAGGAGAGCCCAAGCGTCCTGCTGAACTGGGCCGTGTTGGCCTGAGCTTCTCTGACCGGCGTTTTTGGGAGACTTGCGTGGAAACTTGGGGCTTTTATTCCACAGTGGAGCGAGGGCCCGGCTCCACTGACCCCCACGGTGTATCAGGCAGGGACAATGGTGTGGCCTCGGTGACTACAGTGAGGATTACGGAGCATAATGGAGGTGGAGCGGCGGTAAAGCCAGCGCAGGGCAAGCAACAGGAAGCGGTTGTCATAGACTCAGCAATGATGAAGTTCTCAAGCAGGTCGTGACCTTTCCTCTTTGACCACCTCAGCGTATTCGCCCACCTGGAAATGCGTCATACCTTTTCTCGTTTATTCACGCTAACCGTTGCAAATGGTTTTAAGAACCAGTCCCTTTTCGTTTAATTATTATTTTTTTCTTATCCAGTTCAGTCAGACAACACAGCTCTGGTTCCGCCTTCCCTTGCGTCAGCGTGCCGTGTCTCCCAGACCTGGGACATGATAGTAACCGTGTGATGGATTTTGTTGACAAGTCAGAGCAGTCTGGGAGAACCAATCAGGTGTGCAGAGAACAATAGTCGGCTCTGTCTGGAGGCGAACCGCTGCTGTGGAAATAATGACATGTTTGTTTTATGTCCTCGGCTCTGATGTGGCCGTTAAATGCAGATTACTTAAATAAAAGAGAGAGGGAAAGAAATGTTTTCTCACCCTGTCTTTTTTTAAATTTGTGGTTCGTGCAGTTCAGTGCTGGAGTGACGCTTCGCTGCTTATCAGGCGTGTTTTCCAGCTGCACGGATGCATGGCGTGCACTTAAAACGCGTTTAATTGGGATAACCACCATGTTGTCGTTTCCCTGAATGGTGACCGACCGTCAGAAAAGGCCGATCGCTGCTTGTTTAGATAAATGCAACTTTCATTCCTCGTCCCAGCTTTTGTGTTTTGGTCTGGTTTGGTTTTGGGAGGAACGTGTTTGAGTTGGCAGGAGGTGAGATTCTTGTGTTGGGTGAGATGCTGGTTAATCCTCGGCTGACAGAAAACTTTGCAGGATCTTTTTAAGCTGTTGACTGTACAAATGTCTGACTCGTACAACGCATTCCTTCCACTCGGCGACTTCAAAGGTGACGGTGAGAGATGATTTTCATAGATTTTACTGCGTAAACGTTGCGATACAGTCCCAGACACTGGTTAGGTCACCGATTACTTTTCTGTTAGTCTAATGGGATGTGTCTCAACCAGTGGTGGTTCTGTGGGGGGGGGGGCTCTGAGTGGCAGCTGGAACTGTCCAATATCATCTGGATACCCCAGTTTCCACCCGATAATTTCTAACATCTGAACAGGACTTCAATCTCTACCCTGACTCATCAGTTTTGAGTTCACCCCCCACTCCTGCCCCCCTGAATTTTGACAAGGTTTCAACTGGACCAGGGGTCTGCAACCTTTAGGATCAAAAGAGCCATTTCTGCCTCTTTGCACACTAAATAAAACGTCTGTGGAGCCGCAAAACCTGCGGAAACCGTGATCAACTGGTGGCTCATGGCCCACTTCAGACCTGTTGCAGGGGCGTTTTCCAGCCAGTAGGTGTGATATTATGTAACTAGAATATCAAATTATTATTATTATTATTTATTGATATTTTTATATTTTAGGGCAAAAGAAAAAATGGATTTATGTAAAGAATTAAAAAATATATATATTTTTAACCAATTTTATAAAAATTCAAACCAGAGTATGCAGACTTATGAGTTTTGTCTTTTTAATTGTGGAAACGATTCATAAAGTATCATGAAGTAACAAAGCATAAAGTTTAAAAATGAGGTCAGTTGGAAACGTAATTGAATAATAAATTGAAAATAAATCCTTCCGTTTACTTAAAGGTACCATTAAAGGTATTCCTCCCAGAACATTTGGTGGATTTGAGAAACGGATCACAACGTAAGACTGGAAGTGAGCTAAAAGAAGTGGCTAACAAACTACTAGCATGATGCAAACACGTTTTACTCCTTGTTAGTATCATTCTCATGTTGGCAAAAGAAATGACTGGATAACTGCTAAACTAGTCATTTCTTGTTGGTACAACAACCAGTAAACTTCAGTTTCATGTTGGTTTTGGTCAAAACTTCGGGGGACCGAAGAGCCGCAGGTTGCAGACCCCAGGACTGGACCGAGAAACTTCTCGTCTGTCGCCAACTCCTCGTGCTTTTCCTTGAAGCACGACTTTACCTCAACTCTGACAAATCTAAAACACTACGTCACATTTATTTCTCTCTCTTTCAAAGAACACTGACCAAGGTTGACCCTCAAACAGAACCAGGTTTTTTATATTTTGGCCTGTCGCACACTTGGACACTGTTCCTCTTTTACTGAGGTTGCTTAATCTCAAATTCCAACGTTATTTTTTTCATGTAGTTTGAGTAATTTACATAAATCGACCAATATAGCTTGAATGCATGATCAAAACGTTAACTTCTGTGACGATACACTTCGTTCCCCCCCCTTGCTGGACCCTCGTTCTGTGGCCACCTCCACTTCTTTTCAACCTTTGGCTTCAGTTTGTTGTTCCATGAGACTTTGCTCTCTGTTTTTTGTCATAATTCCCAGTAATAGTGCATCAGATGGCTCCATTTCACCGGAGGACAGGAGGTGTGTGAGGAAAATTCCCCCTCTGAGAGGATTCAGTAGTGTTCTTTGGCAAGTGAGTGTGATTTGAACTGGAAGGATCTTTATCGCCTGTGTTGGTTGTCTGTTGGACGGTGTCTGCTCGGCCAGGAAAGATAAGACATATGGCCACACTTACTGCACTTGGGTGTGTGTATGTGTGTGAGAGAGAAAGGGAGTGTGTTCTTTGTAGTTCAAAGAGAAGCGGTGAGTCAGCTGGGAGCCTGGGAAAAGTGAACCTGGCAGTGGCAAGACGAGCTGATAAGCGCCAAGGAGTTATGGGGTGTTGGTGAACGAGGAATCAGGCGATATCTCTCCGAGCGGTTTGTCAGAAATGGAACGTCCTATTTACGCTGCAGCGGCCTTTCAGATAAGCCTTTTAAGATATTATTATCTAAGGCTGTTGATTCCTGTTAGCTTATGTGATGATTTTATTCAGTTCAGTGAAGAGTCGCTGCAGCAGCCTCCATGTCAAGGCAAGTCCCAACAATGCAAGAGATGGGTGTGTTTTTTGGAGAGGTGCCTGTCAGGTATTAAGATGCGAGCCGCCCTCGCAGCACGGGCACGGGAACACTCGGGTTGAACAGGATGAAATAATCGGTCAATTATCTTTCAGTGCACCGCAGCTCAACAGTCTACCTTCGTGTGAGACGTTTGAGTCCCAGCAGTCTTTGACGCAGCGTTTTATTCTGCAGCGGGTCAACCGGGTTTGTTGATGTTTCCAGTTGGCAGGGATCCATCGCTGTTCGTGGTGGAACCGCCGGTTTTAGAAAGGGTTTCCAACAAAGAGAAAACAAAATGTGCAGATTGGACGGATCACTGACAGGTTGCTCGTTGAAGTTGTGGGGAGGGGGGGGAATAAAAATTAATAAAAGAAGAGGAAGAGAAGGCCTCGTGAGGTCAGTGATTTTTGCATTTGAGTTCCTGTTTTTGAGGATGAGGTCACTTCTTGTGCGGCGCAGTTCTCGCATGCGTGGGAGTTCTGATGATTAGTCATCGCTGACTTGGAGCGAGCTCACAAGTCGCTGTTTGTCATCGGTCATTCTACAAGGTGGGCGATCATGTAACCACAGGGTGTGTGTCTGTTAGCAAAGCACCTCCAGAACCAGCGGGCACGCTTCAATGAAACTCAAGCTAATCACTGAGTTGACAAACTGGGAGCCAGTCCAATTCAAGATGGCCGCCACAGCTAACCAGCTACGTTTATAGTCGGTTTTACAGATGTTGAGCTAAAACTTGTGGTAGTAGCTGAAAGTCATCCCCAAAACACTTTCAACACAAACATGTGCAAAAAAAAAAAAATGCATTTAAATGTTGGCAGCAACCCTGTCTGTTAGCAAAATATTCCAAGAGCCAGTGGACGTATTTCAGTGAAACTCTCAGAAAGTATAGATGTGATGCACGTCTCTTTTTAACCAATTTAACATGGCCGCCACATCTACTTGAACTTGACAAATGCAAAAACATCTTCATACTTTTATAGATACTAAAACTTAAGAGTGATGGTACAGTCGTCCCTTGAATCCCTCCATTTTGGCAGAAAGCGGCGTCCGGAAGCACTGTTGGCTTGTGGGTAGTGCAGTTCTTTTTTTGACTGGTGTTGCGGTGTAGGCTTATTGAAAGAAAACTACAAAATGGTGGCGCCTGTCCCAAGTATTTATTTATTTTTTGTTAACTTTTTATCCCTACCATCCCAATCATGCGAGTCACATTAAAGTTGACGATCGTTGGAAAAAAAAACGTGAAAGGGCGAGTCCGCGAAGTAGCGAGGGACGACTGTAGCTGAGAGTCATCCTCATCATGTTCTTTGAGCACAGTTGTAGCGAGTGATATTTCTTTCAAGAATGCTGCGTTCAAGTGCTTAGGCTTGAAACGTAATCCACTAATGGCTGATATGCTAAAACACTAAAGTTTGCTTGCAGCTGTGTCAAGTGGACATGATACTTCTTAATGCCTACAGAGAAGCCTCTTAGTTCTTACTGCTGGCATAACTAGTTGTAGGTTGAGGTGGCTTGGTAGATAATGAAACATCACGTCAATCAGGCAACTGCAGCCAGTTGTGCATCAGAAGAAACTGTAAAAGTCCTGATTGCAGTGAAATCCTGGCAGCAGATCAGACAAATGTCTCTTGGTAAGATGGAAAGTTGAATGCCTGAGAAAACAAGATGAAGCAAAAAAGAAAAAAAGGGTTTCAGGAGTGAGTCACGGCTCTGTCTTTCTTTGGGAAAGGGAGCAGGGGGTTTTCCTCGGAGCAGGTTTGTTTACCATGAAGTCATCGCCGCAAAGAGGGCTTTAGTGGCACGGTTAAATTTTTTAAATGCCTCCGCGCTGCACGGCTAGGAGCAAAACGGGTGACGTTTCTAGTGGATGCTCGAAGGGGATCGCACTTTAACTTGCTGCACTCTTGCAGGTGTCCGTTGTCTCACGACTGCGTTGCAGGGCAGAGTAAGCCGATATCGGTGCGATCACTACTGACCCTGAAGCAGACAAAGCGGTTTTGGGGGCAGTGCCGAAACCTAGACAGGCTCTCGGCTCCGTCTGCTACATTCACTTCCTTTTTTGTTTTTAAGCACCCTCGGTCGTGTCCTTTTAATCACTTCTCGTCACATGTTTATAAATTTGTATAGGATTGACCAGAACGGAGCGTTGTTCTTACCCAACGCTGGAAATCATCTGCTCAACTTCCCTCGCCACGTTTTTATAAACATGTGGAAAAACTGTTCCTGAAAGGTTGCGGCGGTTAATATGAAGACAGGAGTTTGGCTTCTCAGGATGAAGTATCTGTTTCTGTGTAGCTACAGTTGTTTTGGCTTATTCAAGTCTTTGGTGGAAGGTCAGCTGTTACGTTTTTGGGGCAGTTCAGGCATTTGGAGCAACCGCTGGTCATGACTTTGCGTTTCTAATTGTGGAAGGGCTTCTGAACCGTTTCACACTTCGTCTTTTTATATTTAGCTTAACCAAAGTTTCAGCGTTTGTCATGAAACGTCACAGACGACACTAATTATTACAGCAGAACAACGATCTGTTTAAAAGAGGAGAAAGCACCTTAACGACAGCTGATCTCAGCCGCTTGGTTCATCTTCCTGTTGGGTTTAGTCACCTGAAGTCCACCAGAAACCCTCTAATGGGGCAGCTAAGTGGTTAGAGCAGTTGTCTTCCAATGCAAAAGTTGGGGGTTTGATTCCACCAGCAGTCACATGCCGAAGTATCCCTGGGCAAGGCACTGAACCCCTTATTGCCCTTGATGTGTGTCCCATCGGTGTATGAATGTGATGCAGCACGATTCTTCTCTGTAGAGATGTAGTAGAGTGCTGTATGAATAAATGAGGGCACAGATTGTGTTGTAAAGAGCTTTGAGTGTCTTCATAAGATGGAAAGGTGCTGTATAATGCCGTCCATTTACTTTTTACAATAAAACAGAGGCTGCTGCTAATTCTGCTAGTGCTTGATCAGTTTATTCCTTTCTGTTCTCTGATTTGGTGGATCAATGTGGAGGAGGGATGAGTTTTTCACCAGTAAAGCTGAGCTCACCATTGACTGTAGTTTCCACCTTCTTACCCTTTCAAAATAAAATGGTGATGGCAAAAACGGGACGTTGGGGGGTGCGGAAAGTTCTTTTTTCAGGACAATCAGAGGGTGGTCGTTAGGAAACGAGCTGTATCGCTCCAAGAGGCCGGTGTTTTAAAAATAAATTGTAACATCCCTAATTCTTTGGTACTTAAACAGGACTTCACTGATTCAAGGCTAATAAACCAAATGCTGGACCTTTTATTTATTGTGTGCTACTTTTAAGGGAGCGTGTGAACCTCTTGTACTTGTTTTAGGTTGATCTCAGTCTTTTTAAATGTTCTTTTGTAAAGCTTTGACGCAACGATAAGAGACTAACGTGTCTCTCGTTTGTCCCTCAGAGGTCCTACACTTTGATCGTGGAGGCCTGGAACTTCAACAATGAAACGAGTGGTGAGTATATTTTCACCGTCCGGTGCCTCTGTCCTCTTCTCTCTTTACTGTCTCTTTCCCTTCCTCCAAGCAACACCAGGGAGACATTATGCTGAAGGTCAGGAAAGGAAATTTTTCTCCCTGAAGCCCCTGTGTCCTCCCCCTTTCAGGTCCATGGGGTTCGCGTGAGTTTCTATTTAAAGTTTGCTGACAGGTTGCTGTCAGAGCAGAGTTTTTTTGTTTTGTTTTTAGGAAGCAAGAGAGGGGACAGAGGTAGAGGGAAGGAGTCTTGCAGCCCTGACCTATAAAAACTGATTTTAGTCAGTAGGTGCTGCCGGTCTGGGTCTCACCTCTTTCCATGAGGTGTGAAATGTCGAGCCTGGCGCCCCGCAGGTGTCCGAGGCCATCTCGTAGATCAAACTCCCTCTTGGCACAGGTGAGCTCGGAGCATCTGCAGCAGAGAACTCTGTGAACTACTCTGGGAAGAACGCCGCGGTAACGTGGGGTTGAAGCTGAAATCTTAGTTCTGGCTGCAGTCGGGATTCCTGCTGGTTGGTGGTCAGTGCGGAGACAGTGTGGAGATCCCAGATGAGGGCAGGGCTTCGTCCCAACGCTGCTTTATGTCTGTTGGAGCGCCACGAGGCTTCGGTCGGTTCTGCTGTATTTGCCGCTCCTCGGAGAACTATTAGGACCCTGGTGTGAAAACCCCCTCAGAATGTACGCTCGGCGTTGTTTTAACCTCGCCGTGCTTCAACGTCTCTGAGCTTCATGTGATGTAACGCCACTTTCAATGGAGTCTTAATGAAAAAGAAACAATCTTGTGAAAAGATTTTTCTTAAAATTCCCACACCAGAACTTTAGAGAATAAATTTTCTTTTAGGTGGCTTATAGCAGCGGATCTGAAATGTTTTGGTTCTCGACCCTGAAATAATGACAGAGGCTTGTGAGTCCATCCATTGCCAGTTTGAACAACACAAACCGTCTTAATAGCATTTTGAATAACTCATCACTAAGTTTTTAATCTTAGCAACTATGATGGTGAAAATATGCCAAAAGCAATAATTTTTAAATGTGAGTTGATATCTGGAGATGATCTACATTACAGTGGTCCCCAACTCTGGTCCTTGAGGAACACCATCCTGCATGTTTTAGTTGTTTCTCTGCTCCAACACACCTGATTGAGCGATTGAATTACTTCAACAGGATTTGCAGAAGCCTGTTAATCACCCATTCGTTCAAATCAGGTGTGTTAAAGCAGGGAAACGACTAAAACATGCAGGATGGGGTTCCTCAAGGAGCAGGGCTGGGAACCAATTATTTAAAAAAAAAAATTATTTTCACTTGTTCTCAATTTGTACACATCCTTTATAATCATCTATTGTTGTCCACTGTTGTTATCACTCAATGTTAAAATCAGGTCTCTCTTGTAAATGTCTCAATGGGATTAACCTGTATAAATAAAGGTTGAATGAATGGAATCTACAACCCCCAAATTGGTGTTTCATGGCCCATAACGGGGTCATGACCTCAGCTTTAGGACCGTTTGGACGTTTTGTTGTGCTTGAGACTCGGCTCAGGCGTTTGTAGCGTTGGTCTGATTGATGTGAAGCTCCAGGTCAGGCAGCAGGTAGCACGGCTCTGCTACTCCTCTCACCGCGGGCCGGCAGTCGGTAGAGAAATGCCACACGGCCGAGCTCTGGATCCCAAACTGCTGCGAAATGTTGCCGAGCCCTGCGATGTCAAAGCACAGCCACGACCCACAGCCCGCATACACACAGAGCAGAACGCTGTAAATAAATAACAGCACCCACCCCCACCACCACCTCTGCTCGACGTTGCATCATACTACACAGAGGAGCGACTCGCCTCGCGGTCAGCCACCTCTGCTCGTGTGAGCCTCAGTAAATAACGACTGACGGGTTTTTCATTCTCTCCCAGGTGAAAGATTTAGACATCAGGTAGCGAGCGCTGCTAATGAGCGGGGGCTTGTTGGGGAGACGGCGCTCGCTGTGCCTGGAGTTTGGGCTCAGTGTGTTTGCTCTCTTTGAGTGTTTGCTCTTTCTGACGTCGCTTTAACCTCCATGTTTGACTAGAAAATACGTCTGCTTCTGGGTCTAAGTCTGTGTTGACTTTGCCTTATTATTATTGTTTTTAATTACAACCCATGTGCTTTCTTTGCTTTAGATGTCACACGTAGAGAGATGTGTCTAAATTGTCAGACTTTAATATGTTTTAACCGTAGTGACAAAAAAAAGTGCCTACAATTTGGAGAAAGAAGTCCCAGCGCTGCTCTGGCAGGCCTCCCAGCAGTGACTGAGGCAGCGGTGTCCTCGCACTGTAATTTATGGCGACTGCGGTTCTGTCCTCGCCTGAGCAGATTCAGAGAGCAGCATCAGAGACCCGTATTATCCTGGAGCTGTAAAGCTTCGGATCAGAAACCAACCGGGGTGAGCTGGTTAGGGAGCGTGAGAAAAAAAGCAGTTAAAGTGCTCATTAAAGGCATCCTTTTCCATTTTTTATGTTTCCTCCTTCTACTTTTTTCCCCCCTGTTCTCCTTTCTGGCACACATAGTTTCCTTAATTATATGTAATCTGTTATCTCAGAGATCTTCAGCAATTTGTGTGAGAATATTTTTGAAGCAATTTGGGGTTCTCGGCACCTAAAGGCACGACGCTTCGCTCCAACGCCAGCTTATCTGAGCGAGGCGAGTTTGAAACTTCCCTTGCTTGTTTTAGGTGCTGATGGGAAGCTGATAGAGAAATCCTCTCACTCGGGCATGATCAACCCCAGCCCACACTGGCAGAAGCTGAGCTGCAACGGCCACGTTGCCCAGTTCGAGTACCAGATCCGGGTCACCTGCGATGAGCACTACTACGGCTTCGGCTGCAACAAGTTCTGTCGGCCCCGGGATGAGTTCTTTGGGCATTACACGTGCGACTACAACGGAAACAAAACCTGCCTGGAGGGCTGGTCTGGACCTGACTGCAACACAGGTGAGCCCTGCTGGAGTGGAGGACGTCACTGGGTGGAAAGTCTGATGAAGACGGGAGCAGACTTTAAACTGATTCATGCTGATGCCTCTGTCTGCTGCATGAATAACTTTTGTTTCTGAGCTCTCACGACATCTTTTGCAACTCCCCTTTAAAGTAAAAGTGCAATAGATCAAATCTTTGATGTTTTCTGGGAAGTTTATGAGCAAGCAATATCTTATCTGTCATAGATGGCTCATTGACTTACCTTAATGATGAGGTAATGGCTAGTCTGAGCAGGACCAAAACAAAAGCGACCCCTACTTTCCATGTCCTTGTTGGATCATCTCGTCAACTGAAAACTTTTAATCAAAAATTGGTCCAAATCAGACGCAGAGAAACGACACAAACATGCAGGACGGTGGCCCTCGAGGACCAGGGTTGACTGACGGGAACATAAATGTTTTTATTTTATTTATTTTACATAAACTACTCTGAAATTGTTGACATTGGAACTACTTTAAGGCTGCTGCGATCCTCTTAGCTCTTGGTCCCGCTCACACTAGCTGTTAGCTCGTAAACAGTCAGACTTAAACTATTTATGCAAAATGAGCTCATTCAAAGAGTTATCTACAGCAGGTAAGATAGTTCATAAAATTCCCACCGAATCCCTCTTTAAATGGTCTCAATTATTTCTTTAAGCAACAAGAAATCAATTAGCCCGAGCAGAAATTATTTTTTTTATTAGGAATGTTGTTTTTGGACAGCCATGGCTCTCAGCAGCTGCCTTTGTTTATACAGGCAGAAATGCCAAAGAACACAAAGTATATTTACTGCTATAATTACTAAGTGCACGCAAAATTCGAATCTGGTTACTTCGCAGTAACAGAGATCTTCTTCTTCTACTTCTAGCTATTTGTCGACAAGGCTGCAGCGCTGAACACGGGTCGTGTAAAGAGCCGGGTGGATGCAAGTAAGTGTCCGAAGCTGCTCCGATTGATTTGTTCGTCTGTCAGTTGTTTATATCAGAGTTTTTCTCCATCGTGGTTTGCTCAAGTGCTTTATGTGTGTGGTGATTGTGTAGAAGCAGCAGCGTTCCCTGTATACGTTGGGTTTCCTGGCCAGGATGCTGTCAGTTACCGGGCCTTTTAGCCCAGCTGAAGGCCGAGTCGATTGTAAATGTCCTCCGGAGCATCGGACCAGCGCTGCCTCACGAGCCACGACTCTGTGCTGAAAATGAAACCCACCCTCTAATGTGGCGGGCGTTATCAGTGGACTCGTGTAGCATTCTGACGAGCCCTTTAAGTGTATTGTTTGTGCAGCTAATGGCTTCTCCAGTGATGTTTCTGCACACAGCCAGAAGATAAACTCCGTGCAGATGGATATCAGAACTCCAGCGTCGTGTGTCTTTAAAAGTTGTTCCTCCTCCTCCTGGAGGAGGCCCCCTGCTTCGCCCAACTCTTCCCACAGTTTCAGACTGTGGGTGCTTTCTTAGTTGTCTGATTTGGCTGCAAATCAAGCGCAGGGATGATCATGTTCTTTTTGAAACGGCAGCTTTGTTGTTGTTCCTCGAGCTTTTGACTTGGTGTTTCTTGTAAGAGCTTGTGTGGCCACCGGTAGAACAAGAGGCTGAATGGCTGCAGTCTCCCAACAGGTGTGGTTATATTTAAAGCTCAGTTTAGCCTCTCCACACAAGCTCTTCTGCTATTGTTGTCAGTGGGCCGTTTCCCACCGTCGAGCTGCTGCAGTGTGTTGAACAACAGCTGTACATAGCAACGCCGGCTTCAGGCGAGGGCAGCCTCCCAGTTACTGACTCAGTGACTGAGTGATGCTCCGCTGCGTCTCCGTCTTGTTTTCAGTGGGAGACTCAGCTCAAATTGTTGCTAATGGAGTAAAAACAATCCACGTAGAAAACTGCTGTTTTGACAGGAAATCAATAGGATTTTACAAAAGCCAAACTGCACAGATTTATTTATTTGTATGCATAATAATATAGTGTAAAAAATACAAACCCTAATAATTACAAGCTGCTGACGGAGTTAGCATAGATGCTAACTTAATTTTGATAAGATAAAACCTTTTAGCCTCATGTTTAAGTTAATTCTAAGGATATATTTAATTATTTACAAACATGTTTTTCATGGTTCGTCAAAGAAAATGTGGATAAACTTGTAAAAACACACAGCTTGTTTCCACTACATGAAGCTATGGGAACTCTACTGGGACAACTGGCACCGCATCGCACAGTGACCGTTTGGAAACGGATTCCAACTCTTTCGTTTCTCCGATGCGTTTATCGAGCATATGTAAAGTCTCCCCTGGCTACAGTCAGAGCGAGATGTAAATGTAAACGCTTTGTCTAAAATTCTTCGTAGCACAAGTGTCTGAGTCATTTTTTTCTGGACCCAAGCTTGGGGTAAAGAAGTGATCAAAAAAAGTTTATTTCCGGTGATTTTTAGACCTTTTTGTCTCTCTCATCAAGTTGTTCCTCTCATTTATTATGATCGTCTCCCTCCTTCAGGCTGTAGGTCCGGTTCCTTTCGGAGCAGGGTCAGCCCCATGGTTCTCCTTCTCCATTTTGCTCTGTTTCGTGTATTGTCGTGAGATGGAGTGTCTTCATATCCTGCTGGATCATATCCATCCGCCTCTTCAGCTGTCCCCTGCTTCGTTGACTGAAAACTTCTGAATTCAATAGCCTTTTTACCTTGTTGTCTTCTTCCATTCGCTGCACACGTCCATACCATCTCATTCTTGATTCCCGTATCTTCTCCGTGATGCACGCCACACCAAGCATTTTTCTGATCTTGTCATTGCACTGTCTATCCTTGACGAAAACTCCAAGAATCCCATGTAGCATCTGCATTTCTGCCCTTGACAGGAATTCCTCTTCGTTTCGCTTTAAAGTCCACACCTCAGCTCTGCAAAGCAAGACTGGGTGCACCATCATCTTGTACTCTTTCTCTTTAATATGAAGCTGCATACTTTTGTCACAAATTAACTTCTGTCGGCTCCTTACATTTTGGCCACGCGGCACCAGTTCTGCATTTAACATCTCCTTCATAGCTTCCTTTGGCATTTATCACCGACCCTAGATACTTGAACATTTCGACCAGCTTCAGTACATTTCCTCTTATGTTCAATTGTTAAGGTCTCGAAAGCTTTTGAGCAGACCATGGTCTCTGTCTTTGCTGCGTTTATTTTCAGACCTTTTACTCTCAAGTGCCTGCTGCCACCATCTGAAACTATCTTGGAGATTAAGTTCAGAATCTCCAGCCACACCTAGGTCATCTGTATACAACATATCCCATGGCACTTCTCTCCTAATAAGCTCAGTAACTGCGTCCATCACAACAATAAACAGTGGGCTGAGACATGAACCCTGATGAACGCCAACTTTAATCTCAAATTTATTATGATTATGCACATGGCCAAATATTCAAATTTGTCCATTTTCAAATTTGATCAATTTATAGCCACTTTTGTGCCATCCAACAGCCACTTTTCTTACAGAAGAGTTGAAAACACTGTCCCCAGTAGACATAATGTGACTCAGCAGTGTGTATTTGCTCCACCTCTCATGCAGACAATTGGCACTTAAAAAATACTTCTTTAATCACAGACTGACAGTTATTTAAGGACTGTGTTTATTTTTACTGTCTGTTCATTTCTGAGGCTAATCTGCTCGCCGCTTCTTCAAGGGATTTCCTGTCACTCGGCTCCACAGCTGGGACCGTATCACCGCTTTGCCACCTCCGACCGGAGGACTGATCAGTCATTCTGCACTGTTGGTGTAACTACGTAGCAGAGGATGAAAAGGGGCAGATTTATCAGTGTGGTTATAGACGGGAACATTTGAGTGGTCAGCGGACTTTTTAGCCCGACTGTTCTGACTCCTGGGAACCAGGATGAGCAGCAGTCAAACAGCTGAGACGGCGCTGCAGAGACGTCAGCACTGCCAAGCCACAGAAACTGTGTTGTTAAAGGGAGCGTCTGGTCGCATGCTAATGTTAGCCACCCTAAAGATCCCATTGGAGCTGTAATTTAGTGTTTGGGGGCTTTTTTTTCTGTTTGAAATGCTAAATACTCTTGTGTCCTTGTGCCCAAGCATTGTTAAAAAGCTCTTGCATAAACGCACTGCTGCTTAAAATTCATTTGTGGTCTTTAAAAGATTCGGCCCAGCTGTGTGAACGAGAATACTGCCTCTTTGTTTTGTTTGTGCAGCTCTGGGCTGCGTGTGTTCTGCAGTTCATTAGGTTCAGATTATTGCCGTATCGCTCCAGCTACATCTGAAAACAAGTGAAAGATTAAGATATTAGGATTTTCAGATGCCATAAGGTGGATTATTCAGCCTTACTGTAAAAAAAAAAAACCCTACATGTTCTATTATGAATAAAACATGGATTTATGAGATTTGCAAATGATTGCATTCTCTATTTACATTCTACACAATTTACCGTGACTGTAATTTCCCTGAATGTTCTTCGTGCACGTTGGAAGTTTTGTGTTCTTTCTGTTTGACTGCACGGCTTTCTGTGTGTGTTCCAGCTGTCTGTACGGCTGGCAGGGCCAGTACTGCGACAAGTGCATCCCCCACCCCGGCTGCGTTCATGGCACCTGCATAGAGCCGTGGCAGTGCCTGTGCGAGACCAACTGGGGGGGCCATCTTTGCAATAAAGGTTCATTTGACCTTCACTACCTTCAGCTGCACTCACACTGGGAGCGACCTGTGTTGTGTACAAACAAACTGAAGGTTTTATTCTGCTTTTCCAGATCTGAACTACTGTGGCACTCACCAGCCATGCCTGAATGGAGGGACGTGCATCAATACAGGACCTGACAAGTATCAGTGTATCTGTGCTGAGGGTTACTCTGGAACCACCTGTCAGAGAGGTGAGTCTGATGGACGTTACTAATGAAACTCTTTAAATCTGAATGTTTCTGGGTTGATTTATCAACTCAACGAGTCTGTTTATTCTACCTTTTTACATACAGTAGCCTTCGCTTATCGCGGGGGTTATGCTCTAGACACCCCACGATAGGTGAAAATCCATGAAGTAGGGATGTTATATTTATTTTAGCATTTGTATATATTTTAAGGCTTTATAAACCCTTCCCACACTTGCAATGCTCTTGATAATGTTCTAAACGCTCTAAAAGAGCACAGTGAAAGAGAGCAGACAGACTGATGCTACGGTTACTGAGCCAATCCTGGGTGCGGACTGGCCATCAGGAGCACCGGGACATTTCTCGGTGACCTGGCCTGCTCAGTGATCGCCGAGGGGGACTTAAAGCTTGGTTCAGGTCACACTGAATTATTTTTAAAAACAACCCATGACGCTCACTTTGGTATCCGCCTCACTGAAGTGATGGGGAAAGACAAACCCCACTCCCGGGCCGCCTCGGCGATCTCTGAGCGGCCAATCCACTGGGAAATTACGTGTACAATCTTGCGTTGAAAACCTGTGAAAGAGTGAGTTCACGAAAGTCGAACTGCAAAGTATCAAGGGACTGTTGTAGTTGTTGCCTGCTGCTGAAAGGGGAAGCTTGCAATAAGGTTTTGGTCAGTGTGTGTGTGTTTGTTCATATCTCATGAACCACTGGACAAATTTTATTAGAGCTTGCCGAAATTAATGATGGGATACACACCTACAAGTGACGACCTTTTGGAGTTAACCCAATTCAAGATGGCCACCACAATCGGCTGAACTTAAAAGCACAAAAATAGCTATAACCTGGTCAATTTTATGAACACTGAGAGGAAATTTGGTGTGGTGGTCACTGAGAGTCATTCACAACACCACGTCTGAGGGTGACATTCTGTGATTATCGCTTAACCTTCCCGTCATGTTGTGGGTCAAATTGATCCGTTTTAAAGTTTAAAAAAATATATTATTTAAAAATCAAATGTTGATTGTATTTTTTTCTTTATGAAACTTCTGCTTGGCTTAATAAGCATAATCAACATATAAAATGAAAATGGTTAATTTTACATATTTGCAACCCCCTCCCCCGTCATAGATCAGGGGTGCCCAGACTTTTTCAGCATGCGAGTTACTTTTAAAACGTCCAAGTGATCTACCTACTCTAAAAATACTAAACGTATACTTATTTATATACATATTAAGTATGCTTTATTTGTTTTACGTTCTTGTTTTTAGTATTTTATCATGTTTTCTATGGCACTTTGATTTATTGTTTTCTAACACTTTTATTTTAATTGCATTGTACTGTAGTTTATTGTTGTCTGTACTTTATATGTTCTCTGTCTAAAACATCTCATGTTAATGAGTCCTTGTGACTCAATAGATACTGTGGGTCAGTTTGACCTGGAGTCAAAGTGGAGGGTAACAAGGGTCAACTGTGGGACATATTTAATCTCAAACACACACAGATTCACACCCTAGTAAACTGCGGGAATGCAGGTGTTGTTATGACTTTTGAAGGGAACATTTTCTGTTCCTGAGGGCGAACTCCTCCCATATTGAGTGGACACTCGGCAGGGGAGGGGAAGGGTATGACAGTGAAATAGAAACTTCTAAAGGGAAAGCTCACGATGGTTGGAAAGAACAGAGCTGAACTCTCTGCTGGTAACAAACAGGTTCCCTCAGTCTTCCATGTTTGCCTTCACAGACGGCACAACCCTGGTGTCTTATTGCCCTAAAAAGAGGAGGGGAAATGTTGTGCTCATGAGCACTTTGCACAAAAATGCTGAAATTGGCACATGAGAGGAACAGAAACAAAGTATGATCCTTGACTACAATGCTACCGAAGGGGGGGTGGATAACTTGGACAAGGCCATGAGGCCTTACAGCACCAGGCGAACGGATGAACATTGGCCACTGGTCATCATCCATCCATCCATTATCTTCTGCTTGTTCTGAAGTCGGGTCATGGGGGCAGCAGCTTGAGCAGGGAGGTCGAGACATCTCTCCACAGCCACCTATTCCAGCTCTTCTGAGAGGATTCCAAGGCGTTCCCAGGCCAACTGAGACGTAGTCCAGCGTGTCCTGGGTCTTCCCCGGAGTCTCCTCCCAGTCGGACATACCTGAAGTAACTCCCTAGGGAGGCACCCAGGAAGCATCCTTACCAGATGCCCAAACCACCTCAACTAGCTCCTCTATGTGGAGGAGCAGCGGTTCTACTGTCTCTCCTGATAACTGAACTTCTCATCCTATCTAAGGGAGAGTCCAGCTACGCTGCAGAGGAAACTCATTTCATCCGCCTGTGTCCATGATCCCATTCTGTCGGTCACTACCCAGAGCTCGTGACCATAGGTGAGGGTAGGAACGTAGACCGACTGGTAAACGGATAGCTTTGCCTTACAGCTCAACTCCCTCTTCACCACAACGGACCGGTACAGAGCCCGTAATACTGCAGATGCTCCATTCTTCCCTCACTCGTGAACAACACAGCGTGAACTCGCTGGTCATCTTTTACAGCATAACTGATGTATCAGCCTACAGCACATTTTGTCATTTGGACAAAAATCTTTCCAGAGTGGAATATGCCAAAGTCGTACAAGAGGCACATCGTCCTAGAGGAGCTGGGGAAGGTGTTTGTGATACCACATATACATCGAAGACTGCACATGCCAAGGACCCCAGCTACTACAGCTACAGTAAGGGAGACCCAGGAGAGGACTGCACCCAGTACACCAACGCGTGTGTGAGGTAAGTGTCTATGGAAGAGCATGTTGTGTTTGCCTTAGGATGAGCAAAACGCAAAGTAATAGTCATCTTCTTTCTAGGTTGCTGCTGGGGGGAAACGGAAGAGGTGCCAGATGTGAGCCATCTGATGATGTCAAGACGAGGGTGACATATGTGACATGTGCTAAATTCATGTGCACAACGCACGCTGTGCTGACATGTCGCTCATGTGCTATGTAGGTGACAACATGCACATCTTATTTGTTTCCACCTTTTAATGTTTGTATATTTCTGGTCTTAAACATTCCTTAGTGTTTCCTGATGCATGCTCAATAATCCAGGTAGACGTATTGAGGATCTGACTTGTTAGATTGCATCGTGTTTATCACAACATAATGACGTATCACTTGTGGCCTGTGGAGACACAGACACACATGCACTGCGTTCATGTCGCTAATCCCTTATTTTGTTATTTTGTTCATTTCTGGTTTAAAAACCGTGATTGAATAAAGTTTATTTTCAACACAAATCCTCACGACTCATTTGCCTTGATTTTAAATCGACTGGTCAAACTGACCCCGAACAAAACGGGCGTCTCAAGTTCATTTATAAACGTCACTCCTTGAAAAGAAAAATCTATTTCAACCTTTATGGTTTTCTGTGTAGGTTTTTATTCCAGTGGACATAAAAAAACATGCTTTTTTTTCAAGGAAAACAAAAACGAGTTATTTATCCTTATTGCTCCTTTATATGTGAGCGGTAAAGAACATCGTTGCACTAAATATTGATTTTAAATGGTTAATAATCGGAAACAAATGTTTTGGGGGGGATTTTTGGGGGTTTCTGACCCTATTGCATGATTAAACATCCTTGAGTCAAACTGACCAAGAATAGCATGGCTGTTCCCCAGAAAAGAGCAAAACGGGAGGGTTAATATTTTAATTTTTATGGTTTGACAACATCTACAACTTTTTCTCAGCATAAGATGACCGTAGTTTAAAATTATGTCTTGAAGTCCATGAGGGATTTGCATTCCTCCAATAATTAAAGGTCTTTTCCAACTCTGCTGCAATTAGTAGGAAAGTTCTGGGCTCAGTGAGCTCGCAGACTAAAGGTCAGAGGTGACTTGAGTTTGTAATCAGAGGAGGTGGTAACTCGCAATAATCTGTTTCCACTTGAGTGTAAGTTGCCCCCCCCAAAGTCAGGTAATCCACCAGTTTGATCTTCAGCAGCCGACCGTGTTTTGGTTTTTTGTTCCTTTATGAGCCAGATGGGTGTGATGCCAACGTTCAGCTGCTAACACTTAACCACAGAGACGATGGCTTCTTCCACATTAAAACTGAACCTTGCGAGGTGCTGACAGCTTAACTGCAAGGATGTCAGGAAACCGTGCCCCTTTTGTAACAGGAGGTCCGCTGACCAAGAGGGGGTACATCAGGCGGCTTCAAGTTGCGGTGCATACCAGAACCATCCACCGACCACCCTTAATTGCCTGATTATTCCTTGAGTGAATCATTCATTTCTGATTCATTTGGGACCCACTCATCCTTAAAGAGCCTGCAGGACCTAGGCTGCCCCTCTTCCCGCCACTCTCTCATCATGCACCGCCTTTCAGAAAAATGGCGGGGAGTCGGAGGGGGTTGAGCCACGGTGCATTGCACAGGTCAACATAGCATGAAAGATGATTTCCTGGTGGTGCGCTCTGTCGAGGCGGGTAATGAGAGTGAGACGGTCTTTATTTTTTTTAATGGAGGGCCGTCAGAGCAGGGAGGATGGGCTGTCAGTGGGTGAGGAAAGGAGTCGACCCTGGATGTGTGATTGTTGCAGAGTGAGCCTTTCCAGGATTAAAAGAACCATCTGATTTAAATGTTCATTGACCTAATTTAACAAACGGTACTCTGTAACTTTCCCTTTAGCGGAACACGCCTGTCTCTCCAATCCGTGCTCTAATGGTGGGAGCTGCTCAGAAACCAGTCAAGGTTACGAGTGTCAGTGTGCGCCGGGATGGAGCGGGCCCTCCTGCACTACCAGTAAGAATGCACAGAATCTAACCGACTGCCAACACGGTCATAGAAAACATCATGAACTCCCTTTGTCTTTGTGCGTTTATGTCTCTCTGTTGGAAAATCACACAAAAATTAGCTCTGGACATCCATCACAACACATACTTCATGCACGTATATGTCATGCAATATCATGAGGTGATCAAATTGACTAAGATCTTAGTTCAGAGCTTCATGGAAGGCGGCAGATGACGATACGTGACGATACGATAGGCGTTTAATGATTAATCGGATCTCTCATCCTCTTGTATAGATATTGACGACTGCTCTTCGAACCCCTGCAACCACGGGGGTACATGCCAGGACCTGGTGAACGGCTACAAGTGTCACTGTCCCTCCCAGTGGATGGGGAAGACGTGTCTGATAGGTGAGGTACCGATTCCCCCACAGATTTCCCAGCTGCCTGTGGGAACGCCTCTAACCCCGTCTCTTCCACTTCTAGATGCCAACGAATGCGACAGCAAGCCCTGTGTCAACGCCAACTCCTGCCGCAACCTGATTGGTGGATACTTCTGCGAGTGCCTCCCTGGTTGGTCGGGGCAGAACTGTGAGATCAGTGAGTAGAAAGCTGCAGCTGTGGAGCAGGACACATGTCCAGTTCCTGGCCCTTTTTTTTAAAATTTCCATTCAGTCAGTCCATGGTAAATCTCAACGAGCCAGTTGTGCAGCCTTTCCCTGCAGTGTAAATTTGTCTGCTGTATAATTATAAGACCTAAGTGTGGCTGAGGCTGTGGTGATTAGAACAATCCTAGCTCCAGTTTCACTTGGCAGCAAACTGGGTTGCTCAATACTCTGTTTTGTACTTATTTTGCTGCCACATTATCCTGACTCTTACGCTGCATTCTCCTGCTCCCCAATAATGTTTTCAAAAGGCCCCAAGCATGAAAAACACAAAGCACACACACTTGTTTTCAAAGGCAGACTGTTTAGTCAAGCCGTTCAAAATTAATCTTTGGATTTTGTTTTTTTTTTTCCTGTTCAGATATAAACGACTGCAAGGACCAGTGCCAGAATGGGGGGACTTGTAAGGTAAGGTTGATGGGTCAGAAACCATAGAGCTTTTCTCACTGCTTTGTTTGATTTATTGCATCGCTTTTTTTTTTCTTTAATTCCACTCAACGCCAGAGACTTTTTACAGAGGTTATATAAATAGCTGCTGTAAATGGTTCTCTGCAAACCAGCAGCTGAAATGTTGTGGAATTTCTCTGAAATCAAATCTGGTGAGGAGCGAGTTCATGGGGGTTTCTCAAGGAAGAAAACGCACGTTTCTCCGGCGCACGAGATTGAATTTCCATAAACGTTATTGTGTTGCCAGGGAAAATGTGTTGAAATAAACCCAGGGTTGTAATATTACCACCCACCCTCCCTCCTCCACCCTCTGTTGTCCTTAATTTGCTTCTCTGGTTTGACGGTTATTGTTTGGACTCCACCCATCCAAAACAGTAAATCAAAAACACATGAGTTGCATGAGGTTAAAGGGATAGTCTGGTCATTTCTGAATCAATGTTCTGTGAAATAGTTATCAGTAGTTTATGCTAGGGGTGTAACAAGACATCCAGCTCATGAAACGAGATCCTGGATCCACGAGACCAAGACAAGAATTTGAGTTTCTTGCCTCAGATTTAACTGACTGGCAACAAATCACCATGTGAGCTTTGCATGAAGTCTGACAGACTCTTCCTCTCAACACGTAGCTGCAGAGCCTCAGACTTCAAAGGAGAGCTGCCTGAACAACACTTCTCGAGGAACGTGTCCTGTGGTCCTGGTGCTTGACCATTTGGTTCAACTGCTGCCGTACACAGAAGTGGCGATATATTCAGTACTGACGGGTTTCAAGTGGATGAGAATTCCTGACGTTTTAGTTTCACAGTACACCCCTGGTTGGTACCTCATCAGTCGTTACATCGTTCGTAAGACGACAGAGATTGGAGAAAATGCGAAAAAGTCTTCATCCAGGATAGGCTAACGCATGGGTGTCCAATCCTAGTCCTCAAGTGCCACTAAACATGTTTTACTTGTTTCCCTGCTCCAACGCACCTGATACACTGGTTAAATTACTTCATATTCTGCAGAAGCCCATTAATCGCCCATTGATTCAAATTGCGTATTGGAGCAAATATCTAAAACGTGCAGGATAGTTGCCCTCAAGGACCAGGATTGGACACCTCTGGGCTAACGGCTAGCCAAACAAGGGTCTATTTATCATTTTTCATGCTTTTTAAATTTTTTTTTAACAACTCTCAAAAATGACATACCGGCGTGAAAGAATGCTACATTAGCTAAACCTTTACAGTTTTACATGACACTGTTTTTTAGTTTGTTGCTGTTACTGCACAGTTGCGAGTGTGTTGAACATAGACCATGTTCATGCCCTGAGGGCGCTGAATGCAAAGGTCTGACGGGAGTTGAGTCAACTTTTGAACTGACTTGACGTGTTGGTGCAGCAACCTCTAAATCATGGGCATATAAAGGTGTGCGCTCACTGTAACGCAAATGTTGTTGGGTTGTGAAAACGGCGACAAACTAAACAAATGGTGCCATAAAGTCCGGCGGTTTAACTTTAGTTAACATAAAGCTCTGTAAGTTCATCGGTATGCCGTTTTTGACAAAGACTTCTTTCATAAGCCTGGACAATAATTAAAAATATGTCCTGGTTTGGCCAGTATGAAGACTCTGCTCTAAGACCAATGTCACAGCTGATGATGTACTCATTAATGACAGTGTTACTTCAGTGACCACCTCTTTAAACCCTGCTTTGTCTCTTTCAGGACTTGGTAAATGGCTACCGCTGCACGTGTCTTCCTGGGTTTGCCGGCGAGAACTGCGAGAGGGACGTCGACGAATGCGCGAGCTCGCCGTGTTTGAACGGCGGTCGTTGTCAGGATGAAGTGAACGGCTTCCAGTGCCTGTGTCTGACCGGCTTTTCAGGTCATCTCTGCCAGGTGAGACTGGACTTGATTAGGCACCCAAAAAATCCTCCTCCCGCGAGGATGGTTGCTGTATCTTTGTGCATGTTGCAAACCTGTCTTGCACCACCATATCAAATGGCTGTTGCACCCACAGCCCTCCGTTTTTAAAATGGAGTGCTTTGTTGAAGCTGCTCCTGGCTGCAGCGGGATACATTCCTCTGACTCGGAGGACGGCTCCTATGTCTTCCTTGTTTCCCCCTTCCTCCTAACGCTGTGTGTATGTGTGTGTGTTGTTCTCTGGCACAGCCTGGATGGAGGATGTTGTGGGGTTTTGCTTTGTTTTCCGTCACAGAAACAATGTCACTTATCAAGTTTCACCTTTCTCTATTGAACACCTTTTCTCCCCTAGCTGGATATCGATTACTGCTCGCCCAACCCGTGCCAAAACAGAGCGCCCTGCTTCAACCTGGCCACAGACTACTACTGCGCCTGCTCAGAGGACTATGAGGGGAAAAACTGCTCCCACCTGAAAGACCACTGCCGCACCACCACGTGTAAAGGTAAATCCTGTTTTAGCTTCACCCTGAAGCTTCTGAAGACTGTTAGAGTGCTGTATGTAAACGCTGAACACTTTGCCCACGTTTTCCCATGAGGGTAGTATGTATTTTAAGTTTCTTGGCCAAGGTGAGCAGTGTTGATGAATGTGCCTCCCCCACCACCACTGGACTTTTCCAATGATTCTCCGCTCCTCGAAATTAACTGAAAACCCAGCCAAAGCCTGATGGCGCCGTGTGTGTTCTTAGTCGTATCTTTGGTGGGCCACCTCTTCTTTTCCCCCATGAGAAGCGTGCACATATTTCTGTCTGTGCACACATAATTGAGTGAGTGGACCAACCGCGGAGTCAGATACCAGACGAGAGAGATTCTCTCTGCTCTTGGCAAGAATTAGGCAATTACAGCGAAGCAACTTCACCCGTTTGGCCTAACCTGATCAGACGGGGGGGAAAGAAGGGGATTTCTCTGCACAGTGAGAAAGATCACTTGGAATTGGTTATGAAAGCATAGCAGCTTATCGCTGTTGCTTCTGTCAAAGCCCGCACACACATCCATCTTATCTGACCTGTAAAAAATGACTTTTTTCTAAATCTTTTCCCCACCTTTCTGAGCAGCAGGAATAAAGTCATTCAATGTACCAAAGCCCCATTATTACTGTTGTTCAAACAAAATCTCGACCCATATCTAATTGTGCAGCTTTGAATTGAAACACTCCCAACAGGAATGGTGCATTCTGACTTTTGGTAGCGATACAGCACACAGCAAGGACAAAATTAAAACAAAAAAATGGGGAAATTAAGATCAATGGAACTTTGACAAAACTTGAGGAAACCCAGCCCTCTGACATTTATAGCTCAAACGTTTGCTTTTTAGTAGCAACATAATTCATAATAGTGGCAGAAAATTTAAAGCTTGCACGTCTGAACTGGAAATTTAATATCTTTTACGGTTTTTACACAATTGCAGTTTAAGTTTTTATGATTTTGGGAGAATATTTTCGCTGAATGCTCAACTGAGAATTGATGTCTGATTATAAACTAAAAGTTTGAAACTATGTGACACAAATGCATCTAACTGTTTATTCTTAGTAGGACAGAATACACATTGTATAACAAATATTTATTTTGATCTATATTCTTTTTACATTTAGTCTATGCCTGAAAATGCAGGCATCATTTGTCAAATTATTACACATTTATTGGGTCCCGCTCATGATTTCTTTAGAACATTTCTCATCTCTTCTTACCATTTTGATTTAAAACAAGTGTTTAATGAAACTGGTTTTATTAGTTTCTATGGTTCTGTCTGCAGTGATTGACAGCTGTACTGTCGCCGTGGCGTCAAACAGCACGCCGGGAGGAGAGCGCTACATTTCGTCAAATGTGTGCGGACCTCATGGCCGTTGTCGGAGCCAAGCCGGCGGCCAGTTCAGCTGCGAGTGCCAGGAGGGCTTCAGAGGCACCTACTGCCACGAGAGTACGGCCGAATCCACCTCAATCCCAAACCTGTGCACGATGCGCCCAATGTTTCCCCGCAGGAATATCGTTAATCTTGTCTCGCCTAAATTTCAGACATCAACGACTGCGAGAGCAACCCTTGCAGCAACGGAGGCACCTGCATCGATAAAGTCAGCGTGTACCAGTGCATCTGTGGTGACGGCTGGAAGGGGGACCACTGCGAAATCAGTGAGTGACGCTGCTGCCGTGACCACAAAACAAGCCCACATTTCCCTCAAGTCACTGTTCAACCCTTGTCTCAACATAAAACAAATGTTTATTTGATCACACGTTTGATACGCCGCCCTTCCAGTAAATCACTCTCCCATCTAATGTTTCCAGACATCGATGACTGCAGCACCAACCCCTGTCATAATGGAGGGACATGTCGAGACCTGGTGTCTGATTTCTTCTGCGAGTGCAAAAACGGCTGGAAGGGAAAAACCTGCCACTCACGTAGGAGATGCCTCCTATTTTTTCCTGTTCTTTTTCTTTTCCACACCCATGTAGTCTGTTCGTGCAGGCTCAGGGTATGCGCTTATGGCTGTATTTAATTATCTACTACCTCAGAAACCCTAAGATTTTATTTTACTGAATCCTCTCTCCTCCCCCCCCCCCCCCCTCCAGGTGAAAGCCAATGCGACGAAGCCACGTGCAACAATGGAGGCACCTGCCACGATGAGGGCGACACGTTTCAGTGCAAGTGTTCCCCGGGCTGGGAGGGTACGACGTGTAATATAGGTGAGTCATGCGGTCGCTGCAGTTTCGATTTAATGTTTTACTTTTCTGCTCATTTAAACAGAAACTATTTTCTGAACAAGCTCGATCTCGTTGCGGATATTTACGCGATCCGCAAAGTCCATAAACGATTTTCACCCCTCGGTTCTGTCGGCGCTCTCATGTCCCTTCCTGCTTATTTTCTCTTCTCCGAGTGCTGACAGATATCTGCCTCAAATCTCTGATTGCACCAAAAGTGCTCATTTTTGTTTTTTTTCCCCTTTCTCAGCCAAAAACTCGAGCTGCCTTCCCAACCCGTGTGAGAATGGAGGTACCTGCGTGGTGAAGGGGGAGTCGTTCACCTGCGTCTGCAAGGAAGGCTGGGTGGGCACCACGTGCACCCAGAGTAAGTTGAAATAACCAAGAAGGATGCTTATTTTTATAAAACAATTATACATTTTATGTGCAGAGGGAGTTGAAACGCATTATTTTGATTCATAGTCATTTTCTTTATTCAGAATAATATTTTTGCCCATTTGTATGTACACCTATACATACATGTATAAGTGCTATGTGTTGTCATCACTACGTTCCCAAACAATGACGAAATTAGTTCTCTGCATTTAACTGCATTTGCAATTTAATATATTGGCAGCACAATGGCTCAGTGGTTAGCACTGTTGCCTCACAACTAGAAGGCTCTGGGTTTAATCCCCGGTTGGACCTGGGGTCTTTCTGTGTGGAGTTTGCATGTTCTTCACGTGCTTGTGTGGGTTTTCTTCGGGTACTCCGGTTTCCTCCCACAGACTAAAAACATGCATGTTAGTCTGCTTCAGGCCCAGGCCTCCCTTGCGTAAGAGATGGGATCTCAAACCTACAAGAAGATGGCTTTATCTCAGCAAATGTTACTGATATTGCGCTAAAATTTGGTGTGGTAGTAGCTAAAAGCCATCTCCAAATCATTTATTAATTTATTCAACCTTTATTTATACAGGTTGGTCTCATTGAGTCATGAGGACTCGTTTTCAAGAGAGACATGTTTTATAAAAAATTTTTTTTAAAAAACAGATGAGGTACACACAACAGTCATAAAAAGCATAGAAAATGAAATGCAAATAAAAGTAGTGATATAAAATAACTGTCAACAATGGTGTACCACAAGGCTCAGTCTTAGGACGCACCCTTTTTACATTCTACATAAGTAATGTAGGTCAGATCGATCCTGATGTATTACTTTTTTTGGCAGATGACAGTTGTTTATTGTTGAGCTAAATCAGTTGCTAAGGTTTTCCAGCTTTTACAATCGTCATTCAGCATCATCCAGTCAGATTTGTTCTGTCTCAAACTGATGCTAAATGCTGATAAAACAAAAGGGATGCCATTTTCAAACAGGAAGTTGGTACCAGCAGTCCTTCCTCCCATCTTATCTATGAATGGTGCTCCTACCGAGTTTGTGGATTCTTACAAATACTTTGGTATCTTGACCTGACATCTCGTATGAGATTGTGCACATTGTCATTTTCACAGTTTGACTCAAATCGCTATACGACATAAGATGTTTGTCTAAAGCGCAGGCAGGGCGGGCGATATGCATCCCTTCAAAGAATGTTGGGCCTTTATGTTTCTTTTCCCTCTCTCTGTCCACGGCCGGTCACGATAGGAGAAAACGATGGTGGAGGGAGAAAGAGGCCAGGGAAAGTGGAGACAGATGTTTCTCCCCACTCTTGTCGTTGCATTCCTGTCCAAACAGTGACATGTCTGCTTGTTCTACAGCCCTGCGATATTTCCCCCAACTTTCCTGGGACTCCAGCCCAGAACGCATGTTCTCCAAAACATGAATTCCTTTTGTAACGATTACATGTGAAGGAGAACTGGCAGGGGTGGGATTCTGGGTGTGGAGGTGGGGGGGATGTGACACTAGCAATAATTAGGCAGGGAGTCTAGTTCTGAACAGCCCATCATGCCTCTGCAAGCCGCAAGCTCAGACGTGCTCTTTGCTGTCTTCTGCACCCAACGCTCCTACACAAGCGAGGAGGTAAAAACAAAACACTCACTATTTTTTTCTTCTGCTGCTTCCCTCCCTCTCTTCTGTTTTTTCTTCAGATACCAACGACTGCAGTCCCCACCCGTGGTAAGTGGAAGCCAAACATTTCCTGTAGATTTCAACAGATGTAAACAAGTTGCTCCTCACCTGCATGCTTTTCTCTCGGCTGAGAACCGGGCGAACACCCGCCCTTCTTTCATTCCTGGGATGCAATCGGCTAACCCTGTTTTTGTGAACTCCCACGTGCGGCTCCTATTCTAACAAACACTTTTCAGAGCTCTGTCTGAATTCCTAACACTCTTGTATGACAAAATGATATCTTTGAGAAACTGCTTTGGTGCCAGAGGACGTCATGTCTCTTTTTATTTCTGCAGCTACAACAGTGGGACCTGCGTTGACGGGGACAACTGGTACCGTTGTGAGTGCGCTCCAGGCTTCGCCGGTCCGGACTGTCGAATCAGTGAGTGTTACTCCACCTCCAGCTCCGCCTTGATGCCCGTTTCAGCCCAATGTCAGTCAGGCCAGAGACGATCAGTCACTTCTAAATGGAAAGTCTAGTCGGCCAATTATCTCTGAGCGTTGGGCTTCAAGCCAAGCTAGGCCATTTTGGTGTCACTCCACTGAGCCGTGCTGCTGTCCCTGGGGTAAACCAGCTTAGCAAGCCAGCAGCTAATCAGCCATGCTCTCTGACACTGATTACACAGATTGTTTTCCCTCTTAAAGGCTTTCAGATGGCCGCATTCTTTCCCATTGCGAACCCTTTGTTCTGCTAAGTCCAGCTCCTGCATACCTGCTAATGATCCTGCCGACCTATGAAAGCTGCAAGGGGTGAAAAGCTGTCCAGGGTTGATTTGAAGTTTGTTTTCCTTTTTGTGTATAGCACAGTTGAGATGACGCGTGATCTCCGTGGATGTAGCCATGGAATTAGATTTGTGTGCTGATTTGCTTAACCTAATATTTGAATTGTGTCTGGCTCTTTATTCCATAAACAAACATGTATTTTTTTTCCTTTGCCCTGGCCCTTCTCTTGGACAGATATCAACGAGTGCCAGTCTTCTCCTTGTGCCTCGGGCTCCACTTGTGTGGACGAGATCAATGGATATCGTTGCCTGTGTCCAACGGACAGAACTGGACTCCACTGTCAAGAAGGTAAGTCTCACAAAATAATCTGAACAAGCACATTAAATATAATCATTTCTAACAGAAACTTATCTCATTGCAGAGACAAGAAAGCATTGCTCTGTTAATGGACATGTGACCCTCGATGGAGCCACATGGGAGGAAGACTGCAACACTTGCCACTGCTCCAGTGGGAAAGTTGTGTGCACAAAGGTATGTCTGAACAAACTGTGGCAGCAGTGGATCGAGTTCTGTTCACTGCTCAGCTGTGAGAGGCCTGATGCCTCTGTTTACCGATGAGGGAGGCTGTGGAGAAAGCGGTTACTGATTCAAGGGTTGCGCTTGTGGGTGTGACTTGTTCTCAGCTGTAGGTAGGGCCAAGTTGGACCACAACAACATTCTGTGTTTCAGGGTTGAGCTGGTTTGGGAGTGTCAAATTCTATATAGGGATGATACAGTTTGCTTTAAAAAGAAGCACAATGGCGCTATTATAAATCGGTGTCAGGTGCCAAATACAGAAACTCCCACAGTCGAACTGGATTAACTGCGGATGGTGTCATTTTTTGTACAGAAGCAACTTGAGGTAGCGTTATCGTGCTCATCTAACCACCAAGTGAAGAAAAGCTCGTTACTGGTACAGCCCATGGGGGTTAAAATAACCTGGAACTGTGGGACATACTCCAGGCTGTTGTTTTCAGCACAACCTGATGTTGCTTTTTGTATTTTACACCAAACAGAAGCTTGTTGTGTGTGCGGTTGTTGGCGCAAATCACATTCTGGAGTTTAATTAGCAACCAAACTGTCTCAGAAGCTATTAACTGAACGTTAATGCTGTTTTTAAATTGAAACCTTCATAATTATATCCAACAAAAAAGCTCAGTCAGGTCATCTGTATGTTTTTTTGTTGAGACGTTTAGTCCTTAATCCAAAGGACTTCATCAGTCTGAGGAGCTACAGACAAACTCAAACTCGCAAGCAGCACACTCCCCCAGTGGACCAACCAGTTTGCTGGTGATGAGCTGTGTTCTGCGGCCCGCCCTCTCCCCCGTCGACTCCTCTGGAGTGGTTCTAAACATCGAAGTTTATGCTCAATAATCCAGGTAGAAAATCCAACAAAGTTCAGTCAGGTCATCTGGGCGGTTTGTTTGTGGCTCCTCGGACTGATGAAGTCCTTTGGATGAAGGACGAATCGTCTATAAAAAAAAAATAACATCCAGATGACCTGACTGAACTTTTTTTTTTTACTTGAATTATTGAGCATGAACTTTGGTGTTTTGAACCACCAGCTATGGCTGCCTCAGAGGAGTCGACAGGGGAGAGGGCGGGCCGCAGAACACAGCTCATCACCAGCAAACTGGTTGGTCCACTATGGAAGTGTGCTGCTTGTGGGACTGAGTTTGATTTTGGCTCCTCGGACTGATGAAGTCCTTTGGATGAAGGACGAAACGTCTCAACAAACGCAAAAAAGAAACCGTCCAGATGACCCTGTTAGATTTTTTTTTTTTTTAAACCTGTATTATTGAGCATGAACTTTGATCTTAATAATTATAGTCACACGGTTTGTCTTTAGGGGACAAACAATGTCTGCAAGTTGTATTTTATAGCAGTTTAAATAATTTTAGTCAACAACTGACTAACTTAACTATCAGTCCCTTTCTGATGCAACGTGTCATTTCAATCTTGAATCAAAAAATTATCTATGTGGTTTCTCTTCGGGAGACCAGCAATGTTGGCAAGACATCTTTCATAGTTGAAGTATTTTAGTCCAGTACTGACTGAAACTTGCTGCAAACTGTCGATGCAATTTTCAATCAATGCTTTGATTATCTTCAGGGGACAATTGATATAAAACATATTTTAGAGTTTATTTTCATAGCTTTTGAGAAAAAAATAATCAAAGGCTGACTCTTCTTACCTTTGCTATCTCTTTCTGGTGCAGTTCTTTAAATTTTTTAATCAAAACTTTAATAAAAACTCCACTTTTATCTTCAGGTGTCTGTAAAATGTGTTTTAAAAATTCACTTCATGGCTGCTAAGAAATTATGCTAATTCACATTTTACTTACGTTTAGCCTTGCATTTTTATTTGTTGCTGCAAGGTTGATTAAATATCTAGATTTAAAACAAAACCTGCCGTGGTGTTTTTCTGTGCAGATGTGGTGTGGCCCCAGGTCGTGCAAACTTGGCGCCAAAGGCCGAGGCGGCTGTCCACCAGGCCAGAGCTGCTTGCCTCTCAGGGAAGGCCACTGCTTTGTGAAGCCGTGCGTTGAGCTCGGAGAGTGTTGGCGCCCCAACTCTCCCCAGCCTCCCATCAAATGCCACCCCAGCTCCTCTTACCAGGACAGCAGCTGCGCCAACATCACCTTCACCCTAAAGAAGGAGACCATGCCTCAAGTGAGTTATCCAGGCAACAAGCTTTTAGGGTCTTTTTTTTTTTTTTTCCTGCAGCATTAGTCATAAATTACTGGCGACAGCAAATTGTGAAAAATCAGGTTTTTAGGAGCTCCCGCCTTCCCTTCAGGGCAAAACCAGACTCCTAAAGAATTAATTTACGTGTTCATTTAGTTTGTATTTGGTTGTCTAAATCCTTGCTCTGCTGTGATTTTTCCAACGCCCATGCTACGCACCTTAACCTGACTTCACTATCAGATTAATTTAGGAATAAGCACCACAGCTAAATGAGATCTTAGCAACTCTGTCACAAAAAGTGGTAATCACTCACCAGTCGCAGAACAAGCATATGAGCTGGTGGTCTTTAATCTAAATGAGGTGGACTTCAGCCAGACATGATGTTGCTCTGTTTCCATATGTGTTAACATATGCTTCGTCCCATCTCCATGCGCAGGGCTTGACTGTGGAAGGAGTCTGTAAGCAGCTGAGGCGTTTGCATGTAGTCAAGAATTTTTCCTTGGAGCATTCTGTGTCCATAACCTGTGACCCGTCGTTCTCGGCGAGTAACGAGATCCACGTCTGCATTGTGAGTACCTCCTCCCACTCTGTCTGCCATATGGTTGATGCATGCTCCGAGAGGTTCTCTTTGATTTATAGCCTGCAGCGTGCATTACAGGCAGCACGTAAAGATGCTTCAACAGGATGGGTTTAAAATGGCTTGTTTTTGTGGAACAGTTTAGGAGCAAGTTTCTCTTGTAGATGTGATGTCAATGAAAATGGAATTTAAACGTCACTTTCTTTGCTTCTAGTCTGCTGAAGATCATCGCTTGGACCGCAGCCCCGTTAAAGAGATCATAGATCGAATAATCGGCCTGGTCAGCAAACGGAGCGGGAACAACACCATCATCTCTGCCATCGCAGAAGTCCGCGTGCCAAAGCCCAACAAAACCGGTACGAACCAAGTGTTTTCTTTTCCCCAGACTTCACAAAACCAAGCTCTAAAGGGTTATCAACAACCTTATCAGCTGTGGCGGAGTATGGAGAAAGAGGCAAAAGTCTTTGTCTAGGCTAAGCTAACGGCTAGCCAAACAAGTCGGTATTTTGTTTTTCAGGCTTCTAAAACAACTCAAGAATTACTGGTGTGAAAGAACACACCAGCTGATAATAATCTACACTTAAGTCGACACGATTGTTTAGCTTGTCACCGTTTTCTCAACCTAACATATGCATCTGTGATTTAAGCATAGACTGATGCTCTATATGGTTATGGTGCCAAGGCTGCTGAATGTATCGCTCCAAAATTTTACTCTATTTCCATTGCGGCCCGAGTCCTCCTGATCGAGGCTCAGCCCGTGGACGGTTGAGGCCGGTAGCGGCCTCCATCGTGCCGGGATCCGGTCTTCTCGGAGTCTGGTTGCTTGGAAACGCAGCCCAAAGCGGGTGGTAAACTCCATCTAAGACTCGACACGAGACCGATGGCGGACAAGTACCTTAGAGGAAAATTGAAAAGAACTTTGAAGAGAGAGTTCAAGAGGACGTTGGGGCGGTTGTGGCTGAGTGGTTAGAGCAGTCGTTCTCCAGTGGGAGAGTTGGGTGTTCGATTTCACCAGCAGTCGCATGTTGATGTGTCCCTGGGCAAGACACTCCCATCGGTGTATGAATGTGATAAAGCACTGATTACTCTTTGTGTAGATCTAGTAGAGTGCTGTATGAATGGGTAAATGAGGACACAGGTTGTGTTTTAAAGAGCTTTGAGTACCTTGACTAGATAGAAAGGTGCTATATAAGTACAGTCCATTTACCATTTATCTGTGGATTGATAAATTCAGCAGCTTCAGCACCATCAGAATATGCTCAGCATACGTATATCTGAAGGTACAGACGTTTAGTTGAGGAAACGGCAACTAGCTAAACAAAGAGTGTCAAGTTAAAATGTGGAAGTTTAATATTTGTTAGTAGACTTTTGTTTCACACTGGTATGTTCGGGCCCTTAGCTAGTCATTAGCATAGCCTGGATAAAGACTTTGCCCTTTTTCTTTATACGTCATGCTCTGAATGTTGTCACGACTGATAACTGTCTGACACAACAATGACTAGATTATCCAACTTTAATGTTCCAACATGGACCGACTCTGTCCGTCGTCCGATGGTAGGCGTAGTGGAGTGTTTACACTTAGTATTTAAATGGTAAAAGGAGGTGCATGCCTGTGGGGCTTTAAATGGGCTCACTGCGACTGGCCGGCCTCCTGCATGTGTCCACCATCGATCAACATGGTGACAGCACCCTCCTTTCTTGTTTTAAGTCTGAGAGGTCAGGTTATACTGGACAAAGTTAGCCAATGATTTAAAATCTTTAAAGGGGGTATTAAAATAAAGCTTGTCGTTTTATGTTGCCATTTCTTTGACGTGCGACTGTCTTCTCCCGTCAGACTACCTGGTGCCGCTCCTCAGCTCCGTTTTCATCGTCATCTGGGCGCTCGTGCTGCTCTTTGTTTTTCTGTGGTGCGTGCGGCGGCGGCGGAAGCAGAGCAGCCACGGCGGGACGTCGCCAACGGGCTCCGAGGACAACACGACCAACAACGTGCGGGAGCAGCTCAACCAGATCAAAAACCCCATAGAGAAGCACGTGGGCCTCACAGTGGCCATCAAAGACTACGAGAGCAAGAACTCAATCATAGCCAATATAAGGACGAATCATTCTGAAGGGGATGAGGACGACAAGGAGAGGCACCTACAGAAGGGCCGCTTTGCCAAGCAGCCAGCATACACACTGGTGGAGAGGGACGAGAAGGCGCCCATCTCCAATCCCAACCCAACGTCCAAGCATCCTAACTGGACTAATAAACAGGACAACAGAGACTTGGAGACGGCAAACAGCATAAACAGGATGGACTACATCGTATAGCAGACAGCTGTGTTGCTGTGCAACCAAGCGTTATTCCTTCACACCCAGGTGGTGGGTGAAACCGGGGAGCTTTGGCACGTGTAGTTTCTGCACGCTCGTGCCACTCGAGACCCCACAGTATTTTCAGATTTTTCCCCGTGTTAATTTAAGTTTTGACAAGCTGGCTTACACTGGCAGTGATGGTTGCTTTGGTTGGCTGAAAAAACTCAAGGCACTGGTCTACATTTCACAGTAGAACTACTTGCAGAAGTGTCCTCCTGTGCATTTCCTCTTTTGTACTTTATACTTGGACTAACGGAAGGGGCTCCTGGTGTCGTTGTAGAGCGACTCGAACTACTCGACGTGTTCAACACTAGAGCGAATTGCTTTTTTTGGTGCGTTCCTTCTAGTTCCGTTTTGAGAAAAGTGCCTTTTTTCAGCTTTAGACTTCAGCAACTGTCAAGTAAGAAAAGAAATCCACTTTATTATTTATTTTATTTTTACGGGGAGGGGAAAGGAGAAGAGGGGGTTCAATGTCAGCAGCAGTCGCTGCCAATATGAAGAATTTATGTGACAATTTAGAACATGTAGATATGTACATTTTTTATTAATCATTGTGTATATTTGATTTATTAACTTAATAATCAAGAGCCTTAAAATCTCATTCCTTTTTATTTATATGTTGTGTCTATTTTGAAGGTTCTGATAGCTGCAGAAACATACCATTTCTTTAAAAAAAATAAAATTCAGTGATTTCAATTTAAGCCAAATTTCTAAAAATTTCAGAAGACAAAAGATGGGCACTTTGGGCTTGAAAAAAAAATCCATTTTTTGTTTTGCCTTTTTTTTTTTTTTTTACATTTCATTATTTGTTGCCAGGACCTTAATAGAAGGCAGGTGAGGGTAGGACGAGAAAGAAACATGGCCGCTGTGAGGGTCGGACACCGTGGCAGACATATTGCTCGGCACTAAACAGTTTCTACTTAAGGGAACAAAAATTCAGCCGCTCCAGTTTGACGCACCAGAAATCCCATCTGCTTTAGTTAATAGCATAAGCTAGACGTCGAGTACTTGAACAGTGGGGGGGCAATGGGAACGCTGTGGAATCGGATAAAGACACTGCCTTGCTCTGCTAGTCTGCTTTTTGTGCACATTTCTTTAAAAAAAAAAAAAAAAAACTAAAAAAAAAAAGAGGCTCTTTCAAGACGTTTTATCTCATTTGTTAACCTTTAAGATCGTGGCAACCTTTTCTGTTTTTTTTTTTTTTTGACTTTTTGTGTTTATGAACTTGAGAATTATGTGTTGATCTGGCAATATTTTTTTTTGAAAGTCATATTTATTAAATATTTTGTATGAAAAGAGAATTAAAGTCGCCTTTGTTCTGGGGAGATGAGTTTAAGTGTCTTGTCTGTGATGCATCAGGACAAACATGTCAGCGCACACGAGCGCTTTCTCATGCGCCTGGCGTGGGAACCAGAGCTGGAGACACATCGTGAACTCGAATGAGGTCCCTGTCCAAATATATTAACGGTTAATTGCGTTGCAGCTAGCCGTTCTCGCGTTTAAGTTAATCTTGGAGAAGAAAATACCCTCATGGGCCTCAGACAACGTTTCCCTTGTTGCACCAAAACTTTTTGTCAAACCTTTAAAACAGTAAAGTTTAAGACTGAAGAAGTCTTTCGGATGAAAGACGAAACGTTTCTAATTTAAATGTTTTTTGAACCCGTCCAGAGGACCTGACTTAACTTTTTTTTTTTTAGATTTTTCTACCTGGATTGTTGAGCATGCATCAGGATATTCAAGATGATCGCTTCAAAAAATGTTCAAAAGGATTAAAAGCAAGACAGGATTAGCAACACCTCTTTTAAAATGTCCAGTTTTGCTAATCCACCACAGTCTTTGTGCATTCCCCACCCCAACAAAGCGGAACTGGCTTCAAGTGGTAAACTGGTTCAGGTTACGGCTCCAAATACTCCATAAAATCCTTTCTCAAGCTGTCCGCCAATCTGGACTGTTTGTGTAAGAAAATTATGTACACTAGTCCCTCATTTAACGCGGGGGTTATGTTCCAGACACCCCCCAATAAGTGGAAAAACCACAAAGTACAAACGCTATATTTATTTTAGTATTTATATATATTTTAAGGCTTTAAAACCTTCCCACACTCTTGCAATGTTCTAAACTCTTAAACCTACGTAACTTTAATAGCAAACATATATTTACTATACAGTACTGCAAAATATTTATATGGCTACTCACCAGCCTTGGTCCGGTTCTGGTCGGCTCTCTGCAGCCGTTGAGCACCAGAGGCTTTTAGAGAGCCAGTACAAAACCGCACAACGATTCCAGTTGAGTTCAAATAATCCAGAAGAATCTGGATGAAAAAAGTCCAGGTGAACTCCGGAGAGGACACCGGACCTCCAGGCAACGCCTCCCCGCTCGAGAGGCTTCATGCGCCGGCAAACAGCACTCAGATTGACTGATGAGGCTGGAAGTAGTCCTGGTCCGGTTCTGGTCGGCTCTGCATCCACGGAGCGCTGAAGTCACTGAATAAAGACCAAACTTTTAAGTCTGGTTCAGATCGGATCAGAACTTTCCCTCCATTTCGGCAGAAAGCAGCGGTCAGAAGCACAGTTGGCTTCTGGGTAATGTAGTTCTTTGGACTGGCCACACAGTGTAGGCTTACTGAAAGAAAACTAAATGGCGGCGCCTGTCCGAAGTTTTTTCCCGTTAACTTTTTATCTGTACCGTCCCAATCACGTAATATGAAAGTTGACATGGAAAAACCATGAAGCAGCGAAGAACTTCTGTATTACCTTTATTTGTAGAAAACGTGTTGGCCTGGCTCAAAATGTTAATCTGTTGTATATTCAGTAATTATTTCCTGAAGGTTTATTTAATATTAGTCCAGTGCTTCATGAGATGTTCTGCTAAAGCACAGACTTGACTTGAAGCAGTTGACGATCCGTCTGTTGGGGATCGGTGTCGGCTACTAACGAGCGTTCTGAAACTGCAGCAGCTGTATTCTACAGTCCTACCATGATTTCCAAAGCACCACTCCAGTAGTTGCTCACATTTTATTCAGATTCAGAATAAACGCTACACAATACCTCCCAATTTAGAGATTCATTACAGATGCTTGGGAACAGAGTATGAAGTAAACTATGAGAATGAAGTCAACCCCCCAAAAAATGACATTTTTGGAGAATGGGGTGATGAAATAAATCTGGAAACCCCCATCAAACACATCGGAGCTGGAGCGGGGATGCTGGACGGGTTTCAGACGTGTAGGAGCCAGTGCTTCAGACTTGAAGCCATGACGCACTGCGCGGCTCCTGCCTGTCTCAAATCCTTAATCTTGAACACAAAACCAAATCGAAACTTCAATTAAAGGTTTTTCACTTATTTGCGAGCCTCTCTTGGCCGCTGCTACTTCAGGGTGGAGGCGGATTCAAGTATTTGACAAAGGAAAAGTAATGTATCAATTGACAAAGTGGTTAGCAGTGTGTGTGTGTGTGTGTGTGCGTGTGTGTGTGTGATTTAAAAAGCACATGTTAAATATCGCAGTTAGAAGTGACACATGGACTACAAACATGAAGCCAGTCAGAATATAATCTCCATCCCTGTGGCGTCAGGAATCTTTACTGTAGTGTTTCCTTCCCCTTCAGGACCTCTTCATTCGCCGTAATCTCGAGGTTCTGGGCACGTTCTCGCTTGCCTCCTCTGTGAATGTGGATCTGGAACCAATAGAAGAGCCCGAGGACGCGGGCTTGACAGATAGGCCCCTCAGACTTGCGGCCGGCCTGTTTTGGATTGTTGGTGCTGTGTTATTGCTGGTGAGGGGGAGCCTCTGGGCTGGTTTCCCTGGAGTAAGCAGCTCTACTTCCAATGTGGTTTTCTTGTGCTCTAAGACAAGGGAAGCCTTGGACTCGAGCTTTACTTGGACCGGAGGAAGTGGCAGCAAAGGAAGGTCGTGGATGGAAGTCTGTGAGGAGCGCTCGGCAGAGCGAGCTCGTGTTGTGGCTGGAGGTTCTCCAAGGCACGTTCTCTTGGCCGGCTGCAAGTGCGGATCTTCCCCGGCGTCACCGGGCTCGCACCTCCTGCTGCTCTTATAAATGACTTCAAGCTCAACTGGTTTCAGCGTTTGAATCTCAGCCTTAAAGTCAGACGAGGAACTGGTGCAGGAAGGGGCCTTCAGCTCAGACGCGGGGACAGTCGTCGAGCTCGGCTCAGACTCTCCAGCTTTATGTTCTAGAGTTTGGTTTTTGAGACAAGCCCCCTGGTCCATCTGCTCCTTCTCCATGGTGGAACCTGAGATGTTTTGTTGGACGTTGGCTTGTTTGGCTCTGAAATGTTGAAAAAAAATATATACACGAGTAACTTGTGTGTCTATGTTGTCTGCTGGGTTTGTAAAGATCGTACTCACATCTTTTGAAGCTTCCTTGTTTTTGTGGGGCTGTGTAAAAACTCGTGGGTTCCTCCCACACTGGAAAAATATTCAGATCTGGTTTGTTCCCTCAGCTCAGCCTGGAGAAGACAAACAAAAGGTGTAAACAAAATAAAATATTATTCTGTGCATCACCTGACTGCTGTGGCTTCACGGTGCTGCCAGTTATAAATTTGGACTTAAAGGCCATGAATTAATTCATATTTCCTGTTCCATATTTTCCATATTTCATATTTCCTGCCGCCTTTCATGCCAGAGTTTTAAAATAAAATCATCGTATGTTGAGAAATGATGCGTAGTCATTTTGGTGAAAGCTTCAAAGTAACTTTACAGCATGTGCGCATGCATGTGATCAGTTAGTGCTCAGAGCACTGTGTTAACATATAACCACACCAGATTTTAGTCAAAAATCTGAAAAGAACTGACTAAGTTAAAGACATCTTTACAGGGGTGTTTGACCATTTGTGAACTCTTTAAAATTTTCTATATTTCTGTATAAAGATGACATAAAACATCAGATTTTCACACAAGTCCTAAAAGTAGATAAAGAGAACCCAGTTGAACGAATGAGACAAATATTATACTTGTTCATTTATTTATTGAGGGAAATGATCCAGTATTACATATTTATGAGTGGTAAAAGTATGTGAACCTCTGGTATTATCAGTTAATTTGAAGGTGAAATTAGAATCAGGTGTTTTCAATCAATGGATGATGATCAGGTGTGAGTGGGCACCCTGTTCGATTTAAAGAACAGGATCTATCAAAGTCTGATCTTCACTACATGTTGGTGGAAGTGGATCGTGGCAGGAACAAAGGAGATTTCTGAGGAGCTCAGAAAAAGACTTGTTGATGCTCATCAGACTGGAAAAGGTTACAAAACATCTGTAAAGAGTTTGGACTCCACCAATCCACAGTCACACAGATGGTGTACAAATGGAAGAAGTTCAAGAGCATCATTACCCTCCCCAGGAGTGGTGGACCAACAAAGATCTCTCCAAGAGCAAGGTGTGGAATAATGAGGCCACAAAGGAGCCCAGGGTAACTTGAAACAACTGAAGGTCTCTCTCACACTGACTAATGTTGATGTTCATGAGTCCACCATCAGGAGAACACTGAACAACAATGGTGTGCATGGCAGGGTTGAAGGAGAAAGCCACTGCTCTCCAAGAAGAACATGGCTGCTCGTCTGCAGTTTGATAAAGATCAAGTGGACGAGCCAGGAGACTGTTGGAAGAATGTTTTGTGGACGGATGAGACCAAAATAGAACTTTTTGCTTTAATTGAGAAGAGTTATGTTTGAAGAAAGTAAACTCTGCATTCCTGCATAAGAACCTTCTCCCATATGTGAAACACAGAGGTGGTAGTATCATGGTTTGGGCCTGTTTTGATGCATCTGGGCCAGGACGGCTTGCCATCATTGATGGAACAATGAATTCTGAATTATATCAGAATTCTAAAGGAAAATGTCAGAACATCTGTCCATGAACTGAATCTGAATAGAAGGTGGGTCATGCAGCAAGACAATGACCCTCAGCACACAAGTGGTTCTACCAAAGAATGATTCAAGAAGAATAAAGTTCATGTTTTGGAATGACCAAGTCAAAGTCCTGACTTTAATTTAATCCAGATGTTTGTGGAAGGGCCTGAAGCAGCAGTTAATGTGAGGAACCCACCAACATCCAGAGTTGAAGCTGTTCTGCACAGAGGAATGGATATAACTACCTCCAAGCTGGTGAGCAGGACTGATCACCAGTTACCAGAAATGTTTAGTTGCAGTTTTTTAAGGTCAGTTGGCTCTGGTGGCCATCTTAAATCAAATTTACTTCAAAAGCAGTAAATAACTTCCAATTCTTACTTTGAGAGTTTCATTCAAGTTCATCAAATAGCTCTTGAGAATTTTGAACATCAACATATTTTTGTGGCAGGTGATGCAGGTTTACACAAACATAATCTTTTGACTTCCTTGTACGTACCAAGATTTTGTACTTCCCGAATTGGGTAAATGGAGTCCTCAAAAACCAATTTGTCTCTTTAGTTGAGAGAACGTTCATAACGTCTACAGTCTAAGTGACACTTTCAGCCCGAGGCAGATTACTGAACACAGTTCGGACAAGTTAAAACTAAAAAAAAAAAAAAAAAGACTCAATAAAAAATGAGGAAGGAAAAACAGAAAACAAAGAAAGTTTTGTTTCCTCAATAGGATTTTTTTAATATTATGATTACTCAAGTTGCAGTAATGAAGTCTTTAACAGAATATGACAGACTCAGTCAAATGTGCATTATTCATTGCTCACTTGGAAACTTTGGGGTGAAAGAAAAAAAAACAAGAAAAGAAATATTTGAGGCAGAACAAGAAACGTTCAGTAATGGATTTCACCAACATGCGCCCTCAACAGGCCACAAATGAAGGTTAATCACAGGTTTTGTTCCCTTAGCTGACCAGGAGCAAACTCGTTTTATGAGCGAACAGGAAACGCTGGAGGTACATTAAGCAGAACTTATTGGTACTCTGTGTAATTATAATGCTGAAGAATAAGGAAGACTGCGCCCCGAACCGGAAGAAGTGGGTAAAGATAATGGATAGACGGATGTTCTACTGAAATAAACGACGTGCATAATCACAAGCGTCCCTCGCTGTATCGCGGTTCAGTTCTTGCAGCTTCACTGTATCACAGTTTTTTTAAACCAGTTTTTTTTTATATTGAGTGTAGATTTAGGTTTATTATCATATGCAGATCAACATAAGGTCAACAATGCAATGAAATACTTAGGACGAGAAGAACTGTCACGACTCGCCTAAAAAAACAATGAAAAGAAATGCCAAAGCATGCAACAAAAACACAAAACAAGGCGCCGAAAGTGAAAAAGAAATGCATCTATAGCAACATGGTCCTATTAGCAGCGTGGTTCTGTTAGCAGTAAGGTTCTTTTAGCACCGTGATACTGTTAGAAGTGTGGTTCTGTTAGCAGCCCAGTCCTGT